TTTTTTTATCAATGTTATTTCTTTCTATTTATTTATTGTCGAAAATAAAAATTGTTTTGGGCCGATCATATCTTCTATTTTTAATATAATAGAATTATCATTCTAATGATCACAAAATATCTCAATTGCAAGTGCATTCAACAGTTCTTCATATTTTACTGTTAACAAATGATAAGTTCGTTATTTCTCTCTTTATATATAAAAAGAGCGCCAAATTGAAGGAACAAATTTCAAATTTAATTTCATTTCAGTCTTCTTGTTCGTTATTTCATTTCTCTCGATTGACTCATTAATTCAGCTTATGAATCATTTCTTTCTTTCGGAGCCTCCAACTACTATATAAGGGAGGCACACTTCCTCCTCAAAACACACAACTTTCTTACGTTTAACATTTTTTTTGAAATTTATCTCTCTAATTTCTTTTTTTCTCTCTTTGTAGAAAATTTCTTTTACTTAATATGTCCTTAGTGTTTATAAGTGAAGCTTTACATGTGAGGAAGAAATTTTTGTAAGTAGTGGTGTTGGTCTTTTAAATTTTTAAGAGTGAGATACTATTAAGAGATCAAGTTTGGTTCGTGAGATAAACCTATCATAAAATCTCGATGGTTACTTTCTCAAGCTTTGGCAGAAAAAGCTTTGGTTTGGTTATTGAGATAAGTCATAAATCTCTAAACGGTTTGTTAACTCAGCATGGGGTAAAAGTTGTCATTGGTTGGGGATAAGCCTGTAAAAATCTCAAGATTAAATTACATTAAGGTTCATGAGAATAACCTTCGAAAGCTTAAAGTTTATAGTTAAACTCTCAAGAAGACCTTTTAGGGATAGGATTAGGCCAACGTTCGACCAAACCTGTATAAATATCTGGTGCAATCTGTCTAACTCTATCCTTTTAATTTCTGCAATTTAATTTTATTATTTTATTTTTGCCGCAACTCATTCAATCAAAATTACTAATACGGTCTTAATCGAGAAAAAGATCAAATTAATACCACAATTCATACAATCTTGTGTTTGAGATCACTTGTCCAACACAAGGTGCTAACGAACTATTGAATAACATGTTTAACATCGTTCGACAATAAAACTTGCACACACTTGAAGAGAGGCTTCAATGCCTAGAAGAAAGCTTTCACAATACTCCTTTTCGCAAAAATAATGTCTAAGAGATTGCATTGGGAAAGACTCGTGTTGTCGTCCCAGAAATAGTTAGGGTGAAGAGAGATGAGGCCTCTAAATCGAAGGTTTACCAAAGGAGAAGGAAGCCTTAAAATCCTCCTAAGATCCCCAAGGGAGACTGGGGCAGTCACGCCCTTCCTTGGCTCAAGCAAAATCTCGCAAGGAATTGTGCAGTCGAAACACCCATTATTCGTAAGAATCATTGAGAGTAAGACTCCAAAATCCATGGAGAAGGTTCCCAAGATAGGTGAATATGACGAGCAATGAGGTCTTGACGAGCATGTGCAACTTGTAAATGACTGACTAAGTTATTGTTAGCGCCGATGACACCTCCAAGTGCAAACTATTTGCATTAACCTTGATCGGACCAGTCTGGTTGTGGTTTAATGGCCTACCCGACAAAAGAATAAACTCTTGGGAGGACTTCCATGAGATGTTTTCTACACATCTCCTAGAAGTAACGACCGATGACTGAAGCCACTTTGAGCGGGATTATCCAAAGAAAGAAAGAGATATTGTGATATTACATATACCAGTTGAGAGAAGTCTCCATTGAGGTGGATGGGGCCCAATAAGGTCTTCAGTGCTGGATCTTTGAGAATGGTCATATGAGGGACCATCCCTTTAGACATAAGTTAGGAAAGAAGAATGTAAAATTTGTCCAAGAAATGTTAACCATGGTTGAACTTTACATGCTTATAGACAAGAAGTTGACCACACGCTTTGATAAATCTGCATCTAGCGAGTCTCGCTCCAGTCGCCCGATTGTGAAGGAGTCCCACTGGAATTGAGATAACTCTGATTGGGGTATTTTGGGGAGGTACACCTCTCTAATAATCTCTCGAGAAAAAGTTTATCAAAACTGTGCAAATACTGAGTTTAAAAAAAAGGAATCCAGCCTTCTTACCCCATCACAAAAACATCTCGAATGGATAAATCAAATTACCGCCACTTCCACAGGAGCCACGACCATAATACTGACGATGAAGTCTAACTGAAGGATGCAATTGAAGGATTGATCAAAAGGGTCCGACTAAATCAATATCTTAAGGGGAAAGTGGAATAGAAAGGAATTACCTAAAGGTACGTATCCCTCGAAAATTATAGATGCCTAAACAAGTGGAGATAGCAAATAGGCAAGCAAATGAGAACACCTTTACATCGCCACCATAATCGAAGAAGCATCCCAGGAAAACCTCCCCTCCAAATATACTATGGACAAGTAGATTGCAAAAATGATGGTTGTCTGCTGCAAAGATGAAAGTACTTCAACAAAAGTCCATGGCCAACCTATGTTGGGATTCTGGGACTCAAAGAAGGTTAGAGGCATTCCCAACGAGATATTTCCCTTAATAATCATTGTTACGGATAGGAAATTCAACATGTACTAGATCCTCATTAGTAGAGGCAACTCTTGTGACATAATGTACTCAGAGTTGTTTAAGAAGATAGGACTAGACCGAAGTAGTTTTCTATTATACGATGGATATGATATTTAATTCAACGGACCATTACCCGTCCTTAGGGATATGTCAAACTGAAGATTTTTGTAGGCGACATAAAAGACGTCTGAGAGGAAAATTTTCAATTTCTTATGTTCCCTACAGGAGTGTTTACAACTGCATTTAGGACAAGTCTTCGCAGCCACGCTCGACTCTCTAACCTCAGCAGCACAACTGCATCTTATGAAATATTCTTTTCTTTATGACTATACATAGCAACAGGAAATCCAATGAACGATCAAGATATTAATGCCCAGTGTGTTAATAAAGTCGATGGTGTTGTCGGAGATGCATTGCACGTTCAACTAAAGCAATCAATTCCTCACCTAAAATTAGGGATGTTGTAGGAGATGTTTTGCACGTTCGACTAAAGTAATCAATTCCCCATCAAAAGTTAGGGGTAATGGCGGAGACACTTTGAATATCTGACTAAAGCAACCAATCCACCGCCTAAAGTTAGAGGTGTTTTCGAAGACACTTTGTACGTCCTATTGAAGCAATCAATTTCCCACTTAAAAACAAAGTTGTTGTCGAAGACGCTTTGCACGTTTGACCACAACAATCAATTGCCTACAGGAAATCAGGACCCACCCTGTCTGGCAGCTAGCCACTCTGGATGCCTTGATCGGTTGGCCACATGTCTACCTCTAACCAGGTTTTCATCTGGTAGAGGGAAGCGGGACCGACCTTTGGCCGAAAACAACCCTAATGGCGTCCAATTAACTTCGAAGGAAAATCACATATATTCTCCCACTTCACCGCGTCAGAAGCTGCGATCCACTATCACTATCGTACCTACACTCGTTTCTGGTTCCATAACAAAAGTTAATCAGATTAAAGTTTGTTCTCACTCATTCTTACAAAACAACTTATAAGTAAATGAGTGTTACTCCATATAAAGTGTTTTCTATCTTTATCTCATAGTAATGTAGAATTTAAGATCTTTTCAATACATCCCCTCACACTCTAAAATCTATTGAATTTGATGCGTAAATATAAATGATGAACGATCCATGACATGATCGATAGATCCATAACATAATCGTTAGACTCTAATATTAATAAAATTAAAATTTAGTTAAAACATCTCGATAAAAACAACTTATAAAATAAGTATCACTTTATATAAAGTCTTTTTAAAACTATATGTTACATTTGTAATCTTCCTTTATAAATAAAAATATATATAATTAACTTAATAAATATAATATAATTAATAAATATAATATAATGAATGATTATTAAAATTTTATGCTATAATATTTTATACAAACATGATATTCTTATTTGGACTAGAAACATTTGATTAAAAAGAAAGAGACATTTATATCTCATCCAAATATTTTTGGATAATATTTAGTGATAAATAAGTATTGTAAAAAGTCATCTGACAAAAATATTTTATCATCCGAATGTTTTTGGATAAAATATTTAATGATAAATAAATAAGTATAAATTATTTATCTAAAATTCAATTCTTTGACAATTATCATTTATACTTATTTATATTTATATATTCCTCTAAACAACCAACAATTTTTTTAACAATCAAATATTAATTATAAAGTAAGCAATATTTTACACAACTAATTTAAACTTTCAAATGGAAAACTCCATTGCGGACGTTGTTTTCAATATTAAATTTTTTGTCTTTATAACCTTTTGAAGCAACAACTTAATATTAAAATTGGTATCTTTATAATCTTTTGAAGCATTAAACTTAATCATTTTTAAAATATAATTGTAGTACTAATATGAAGTAGTTAGATACAGTTAAATTAATTGTTTAAATTCTATTAACTAATTTATACAATATCATAAACTAATTTTAATTGAATATATTTATATGAAATGAATTAAAATCACATCAAATAATCAACTACTTTAAACAACTTCATTAAAAGTACTTTTAATTGAGTATTTTATTTCATGTCCAATTTAAATTAATTATAGTCTTACTTTTTTTTTTATAAAATTACCTTAAAGCAAGTCAACTGAGAAATGTAAAAAATATGTAGAATTTTAATTCAGATCAAACATGGATCTGCAAAATCACATTACTGAATGTTAACAAATATTGTAAAAAATTATTGCTAAAAAAATTACATTGTAAAAAAAAAACAAAAAAAAAAACGTACGCTTTGTTTTTCATGTAATTAACACTCTATACAAATAATAGAATTCAAAATCACGAATAAATAAATAAAAATCGCCAAGTTGTACTTTTTGAGAAGAAAATGTGCACAACTGCCGCAATAAAAATAAAAAATAAAATAAAATGAAAAATCAAATCACCGTGGTCGCGAAGAAAAGTCAACGAAATCAACGGTTATGGCTGACTCTTCCAAAATCTGCAAGTTTTCTGGAACGATTCGCACAAAACGACGCCGCTGCGGAGAGGTGTGGCTTCACCGCCGTAGTCCTAACGTCCGCTGCCGCAGCCATCTCCGGCGGTAATCCCTTGTTGTTCCACCTCCGGTTCGGACTGGCCCGAACTAGAGGACTCATGCAAAAAATACCCGAACCTGACGCGCTCTTCCCATGCCCAAGGCGTGAACGCCGTGACGAAGGAACATTTGCTGATGGCGTTTTCTTCCACCACGGAGAAGACTCCGACGAGTAACCACTACCAGACGGACACTGATCGCATTCATCAGTGAATTCCTCTGTTCTCACTGGTGACATTCCACGATCCGATTGACGGTATCGCCTCCTTGCTCCGACGGGAAATTCCTCCGTCGTATTAGCAGTCCGGTTCTTATTCTTCCGACGAGGAGGTAAAATCGAAGAGAACCACGACGGCGATTCTGATGAAGAAGGTTCTTCACACGATGGATCAGATTGGAATTTCTCCGATCTGGATTTAAACAGATTCGAGAAAATCCAAAACTTGCTCAACCGCTTCTTCAACGACCTAGCGTTGGAATTCACAGTGCAACCTCCATAAAAGGTCGGAGCAAGCTGTGGTGTGCTGTAAAACAGCCTCTCACGGCGGTCATGACCGTTCCATGCTGGCGTGTAATCTGATTTCCGGCGAGAGACATAAGGCGAAACCGAGCGCGGAAATATTAGCGGTGGTGGAGGATTGGTTTCGGAGTTTCTAGAAGATTCATCGGAAGCTCGTGAGGTGACTCTGGTTAATTGGGCTTGGGTTTGGGCTTGGGCTGCAATTAAGAGTACGAGGCGTTCCCTTAGACAGGTGGAGCAGACGCCGACGGTGCTGGTGAAGTCTGTGATATGTTTCTTACACCTCATTTGATTGTTACATACGACGCCGTTTCGTGTGTTTGTTGAGTAGCAGCATGAGAGAAGAGATCTGATGGGTTGCTTTGTCTTGTTACTATAGTATTCTCTAAGAGAGAGAGAGAGAGTTTGTTGGCAGTGAGTGTTGGTTGGTACTAATAGTAATGTAATGGTGGAATCTTTAATAAATTTGGAGTGAGAAAATGAGGAGAGAGAGAAGATGAGGTCAAAGTTAAGTTGGGTTCTGGAAAAAGGATGGGGAAACAAACAGGTTTGGAAACAAGACAGATAAGGAAAGGTACATGGAAGATTGGATTTGGAACACAACGAATCATACAAAGCGCAGAGTGATTTTTGTCATTTTATTTTAGGTAACTAACTTGCGTCTGCATTATGCTAGAGGTACATTAACCCGTTTTTTACTTCAAGGAAAATACACATGGCTCCATAGGGGGTTTAGGATTTGATTAAAAAGTTTTACCAAAACTAAACAACAAATCACATCATTGTGGAGATAAAATGTGCAACTAAGAGACTGAAAAATATTTGTCATGCTGCTAATAATGTTAAGTTATTATATAATTATAGGTTATTTATGTATTTGACTAGATCATTACTTTTAATTTCAAATTTTGATGCATTTAGGTATTGGAACATACATATGTCATTTGACTAGATCATTACTTTTAATTTCAAACTTTGATGCATTGAGATATTGGAACATGCATAGTATAGTATGTCTTATTCAAAGAGATGTTCATTTCACCCATATAAATTATCTTGCACTCAAGTGAAAAATTAAAAATACTTCTATTGTATTATTTAAAATTTGAAATTCAGACACACCACATGCTACAATAAACCAAACATCTTAATCAATTATACTCCTTTTTAAATGTTGGGATAAGAGATTGGTCGGCAAGTAGACACTGGTGTCTCAATAAAGAATTATCTTATCATTGTCCGAACATTATGTCAATTTATTCACAAATGGGGTTCGAGACCTTTTTACATATTAGCATGTTGGAATGATATAATCGATATCACAACTTTGTCGAAGAACAATGGAGAAAACTGAAGGTAGGAGGTGGGGAATGTTTGTCCTAAAAGAAAAGTTAAAGCTAATAAAAGATAGGTTAAAAGAACGAATAAAAATCACTCTCAAAATCTAGGAGAGAAAATCGGCAATCAAAGAAGAATTAAATAGGTTTGAAGTTAAAGAAGAAACCATGAGCCTTTCTGATGAGGAAATTAATTTCAAGAGGGGGATACTGGCACAATTATACAAACTCTCAAAACATAATTGCATTATTCAGTGACAAAAATCCAGAAGTAATTGGGTGAAGGAAGGGGATGCGAACATCAAATACTTCCATGGGTGCATAAACAAGAGAAGAAGAGAAAATGAAATCTCCGCCTTGGAGGTGAATGTAAACATGGTGAAAGGATTAGGAAAATAAATATTTTCGTTTTTGACCACTTTCATAATCATTTCTCGGCTAGAAAAGTCAGACTAATTCCTGCAAATATAAATTTCAAGCAAATCAACAATATAGAGGCAAATGAGCTAGTTCGAGCATTCTTAGAAGATGAAGTCTTTAAAGTAGTATGGGAGTGTGAAAATTCAAAAAGTATGGGATCCAATGGTGTGAACTTTGGTTTTTTAAAAGAATTTTGGGATAACATTAAAGATGATTTTATGAGAGTTTTGATAGAGTTCCACACAAACGTAAGGATGACTAGAAGGAAAAATTCTTCGTTATAGTACTAATACCAAAGAAAAAGAACCTGTCGAAACTTTTTTATTTTAGACCAATTTCCTTTATCGAATACATTTACAAGGTAACATCCAATGTTCTAGAAAACAGATTTAAGAAAGAGATTGGATCAGTCATATTGAATACACATACGTCGTTTATTTCAGGTAGGCAGATTCTAGATGAGATCTTTATTGCAAATGAGATAGTAGATGAATCTACACAAATAAAAAGGGAATTTTTATGTTTAAGGTTGTTGTAATAAACAATACCAATTGACGATGTAAATATGTGAAAAAGAGAGAGTTTCTTGAATATCCAAGAAACAATTTAGTTTTACGAAGGAGAGAGAATATGGAAGAAGAAAAAGAAGAAACACAATTGATTATAACTGTTTTTCTATTCACTTTCTATATTAGGGTTTACAGATTACAAGTGAATAACAACTCACAATCTCTTACTCTAACAAACTAGAGTACAACCTATATATAGACTTCTAGTATATGTATGTCATGTAGGATGATAACACTCATACATAATTGCCACACCCCAAAATTTACCCTACCCTTTTCACCTACATCCTAAGATTCATATACCTCATATCTAGCATTTACATAATAGCATATCATGAATTCATGTTCATTCATTGTCATTGAGCTCCTAAAACATGGAATTAAAGGAAACTTCTTGTGATTAGGGTTTTCCCTGCACAAGAGGAGATTCACCTGGCTACTACACAAGTTGAAGCAAGAGTGAAGTTCACAAGATCTTAATCATCTCTCTCTCTCTCTCAAAGTTCCAGCACTCATTCATTGATTCAAGATCTTTCTCACATCAAGGGGAAAGTTAGGGATTTGCATTGATAGAGGACATCAAGATCTATTTCATCACAAACATTAAACTAGGGTTTTGGTTAAAGTCAAACTTGATATTGACTTTTTGACCACAACATGATCTCGTGGCTCAATACATGATTCAAGGTGTTACAACACACCATTATGGTCCATTCATATGATTTTATTGGCTTAAGAAGCTTGAGATATTGATAGATGAAGAAAATTGGTTCAGTTGCCAAAAAGTCAATTGTTACCCAAAGTCAAAGTTTGACTTTTGGGGCCTTTGGTCAACCATGAATTTTCCAAGTCAAGATTCATGAAATATGGAGTTTTGATCAAGATAAATCAATAGGAATCATGAAAATCAAGAAAAATGTGAATTTGAGGTGTTTGGAATATTTTCTAAGTACCAAAAATCATGTTCATTTTGCCAACTTTCCAAGGTTGTGGAGATTGATTCAAGCATCCAAAATTGGAAAACAAGAGCTTCCATTGAAGATCTCACTTGATAATACATGTTGGAAAAAGGTTTTAACTCAAAAGCTTCTTCTTATTGAGAGATATTTGGGGCCACGGTCAAAGTTTCACTCTTTGTACAATTTCCAATAACTTAGAAATTTTTCTAAGTGTTGAAGCATGTTCATGTTCTTGACTTTCAAGGCATTTTGTGGTTGATTCAAGCACTCAATGGAGACACATGGGGTATTCAATTGAAGATGAAATTTAATACTACACCATGGTTCAAAATTTGGTCCAAGAATCATCCTCAAAGTGGGAGATATTTGAAACTAAAGTGAAGGGTGTCAACATTGTGCAAAATTGCCAATAACTTCGAACTTTTCTAAATGTCAGACATCAATGATACCCCAACTTCACGCCTTCGAGTTTGTATCATACAAGCCTCATCTAAAAAATATTCCAACATTAAATTTGTACATTGCAACAAGACCTTTCTAGGAATACGAAGTTTGCTCCATTTGGGTCATCCTACCTCAAGTTGTGGTCCTCCAAAGTAGCCATGTTAACATGTTTTAAACAATGGATATTTTTGCTACCAAGTTGTGCATGATGATGAATTCACAAAGGATCAAGTTATAGGTACATTTTTAAGTTTAACCAATCAATCCCTATATGTATGCACCTTGTAAGTCGATTTCCTTGCGCATCACCATCAACCTACCCTAGTTTAATCTATCACTATTTCGATTACATTCCATTTCACCTTTCTTCACATTTTCCTTCCAAAAATAGTTAACCCAAACAAGAGTTCAATCCGGTCCTTTTAGGCTAATATGAATGGTTGGGATATCATTGCCCCCTCAACTCTTGAGTATTTGACTGTGGGTCGTACTTAGCATATGCACTTATTTGAATAGCATTCCCACACCAAGTTGACTACTACAACTCTTCAGATAGGCAAACTCCAAGCTTGCCTCTCAACACTTCAAATTGATTAGCATCTAAGGCTTTAATGAAGATGTCAGCTAACAGATTCTCTGTGGTAACATGCTCCAAGGCTATAACTTTGTCTTTCACAAGATTTCTGATAAAGTAGTGCCTAATGTCAATATGTTTGATCCTGTTGTGTTGAATAGGATTCTCTGAAATATTGGTGGCACTTAAGTTATCACAGAAAAGTGTCATGACATCTTGAGTGACATTATACTCAGTCAACATCCGCTTCATCCGCATCATTTGATAACAATTATTGCATCCAGCTATGTATTCAGCCTCAGCAGTAGATAAAGAAACGCAATTATGTTTCTTACTAAACCATGAAATCAAATTGTTCCCCAGAAAGAAGCATCCATCAGAGGTGCTCTTCCTAACATCAGCACTACCGGCCCAATCAGCATCACAATATCCTATTAACATAGAATTAGAATTATGAGAGTATAAGAAACCCTACTTGCATGTACCATTCACATACACTTGAGTAGTATTCTTACAAATTAATTTCTCAAAACCCTAAATCATGCAAAACCCTAATTTTCCCCTTAACTCCTCAATCTGATTTTTGGAATCATTAGTGAGACTCAAGTTATCACAGTAAGATATCACAACATCTTGTGTGACATCAATACCCTTAAGGACGGTATCTCTAATTCAATGGGAAGGATTGCATCCATTCCATACACCAATGAGAAAGGGGTTTCCCCTGTCGAAGTTCGCACTGAAGTTGTGTATCCGTTCAAAGAAAATGGTAGCATTTCATGCCAATATTTATCAGTCTTTACCATTTTTTACAAGATCTTCTTGATGTTTTTATTCGCAGCTTCGACATCTCCATTCATTTTAGGACGATAAGGAGAAGAATTATGGTGTGCAGTCTTGAAACTTTCACACAACTCCTTCATGGTTCTATTGTTCAAATTAGTTCCATTATCTGTTATGATCTGGGTTGGAATTCCATACCGGC